GAAAATGCACAGAAAAACTGTACCATGTCCAAGTCCTATTACATCCCTAATATCACAGAAAAATCACATACAGTAGAATCTTGTTTTATTTTCTATCAGGGTTTTTGCATCAGCCATCAAAATACTAGAATTACACAACAGTTCTTTACCAGAAGGAAAAACAACTATATTATCACGTGGTCTGTAAGTCACAGGCAAATTGGCACTACAGTGGTTTGACCAGAATGCTGCTACCTTATGTGTTTATCTTAAGTAGCACATCAAGGTCTTATCCAAACTGAGCCCTTTACATGCTACCAAAATGGAAATAATGAATCATTCAGTCTAGCCAAAGACTGATGGATTTAAAGGACTTCCCTTATGATGGTCCAATTATGGTCCTGTCTCATCAAGATGATGGATCAACAAATACCGGCATCTGTGTTTAACGAGTTAATTCCTCCTTTACATTTTCTAGCGCTAATGAGGCTCAGAACACTCTTTGATGATCCGCTGAACAAGGGTGGGCAATTATTTGGGCTGGAGCAATTATTACTTGCTGCTTAACAAGTTTTATTGAGCTGTGGAGGGCTGTATGCATGTACATGCACACGTGTGCAGACACATGCAGGTATGAGCAGAAAGATGCAAACAGACAGACACACACACAGGCACAGAGATATGCACGCACAAGCAAATGCAGACACACACACAAGTGCACAGACGCGCATAAGCACACGCAGATACATACACACACACACACACACACACACACACAAGCTCCCCACAGCTCTCCCTGCACCCCACCCCTGCCCCAAGTTCCTAGCATGTGGCCGAGTCAGACAGGAGCTGCACCAGCTGTGCCCATGTGGCCTTAAGCAGCACACAGGAACACAGCACATCACTGGCCCAGCCCACCTGCATGCTGGGGACTCAGGGCAGAGGAGGGGAAGCAGGAGAAGGAGGCCAGAAGCCACAGGTTTTCCAGGCCTGGCCAGGCCAGTGCAATACTGTGTTCCCGGGCACTGCTTCAGGCCACATGGGTGCAGCTGGAGTGGCTGGCACAGCTCCTGCCTGACCCAGCCACATGTTGGAGACTTAGGGTTGGGCAGAACCTATGCCAGAGTTGGGCAGGAGCCATGTCAGCGGTTCCAGCTGCACCCACGTGAAGTGGCGTGCAGGAACACAGTGTAGCCCCACATTAGCAGCACCTGCATCCCTAATAGGCCCCAGCCCAACCTGACAGGATCCAAATAACCTGTAGCCGCTAGCCCTCTTCCCCCTGCATCCCCTCCCCTGCCAGCAGGGAGAACCTTACCTGAGCTTTGACTCTCACTGGGGGCTGGTGTGTCTGGTCTGCAACCAGCCACAGGTTTGGAACTGTGTAGACAGCCTCACGGAAAGAAGCCTGGCCAGGAGCTCAGTGTCTCCTGCCTTGGAGCGTGCGCTGGGGAGTGAGGCAGGTAGGTCAGGCCAGGGAGTGGCTGCCTGGCCACTGGACCTGCTGCTGCTGCAGCCGGCTACAGCACAGGGAAGGGAGAAGGGTGAGAGGAAGCAAAAGCCAGGGCAGGGCAGCCATGGGCCAGATACAATTCTCTTTCAGAAGAGCAGCTGCAGGCCAGATAGCATCATCTGGTGGGCTAGATTCAGCCCCTGGGCTGGATTTTCCCTACCCATGCACTATGAGCTATTTTTGCAGGATATCATCTAATGTAGAGAGTCCTTAAAACATGCTCAGTTTTGTCATGTACTTAATGTTTTTCTCTTACAGTTTCATTTTTAAGGAGGGTAGCAATAAGTCAGGTATAAAAATGTTGATGTTAGAATAACAGGCCTTAGCCCAGATACAAATGTTTTCAATAAATTTTGCTTACATGGCTAATCACATGTAAATTATGAGCAAACAAAGTGGCCATTCTTTTCAAACAATTCAGATGTTCCAGTCAACTTGTAAATTAAAAAAAAAATTAATTTTATTCATTTGCTTTTATTTCTTAGGCCAGCTATTGAATGTGAGGGCATGCTACGCACAAATACTAAATGAGCAATGGCTAATTAATCTGTGTCTCTAGTTAATACAGAAAGAGAAACCTAGGTGAGGCTTTTGACTGACTGAGATACTGGAACTGTCATTTAAGTTTTTTTGTGAATGGAGGGGTCTCTGAGTTGGCAGATTTGATTTACCTGGGGAGGTCTGGAAGGAAGGGCCTCCTCGAAAGCACTGCCTCCCCTCCTTCCTCTGACCCTCTCAAAAGTGACTCCACAGGTTATCTGTATCTTTATGTAAGGTTAGGAGAAGAGCTGTTCTTCACAAAGATTTCCATACCTGTGACACAGCATATCCACACTTAATGCTTTTTCAAGGAGCATTAAGTTAACTCTGGCTCTGCGCCTACATTTATCTCACAGTCAGCCTTTGGTGGAACTGGAGGGTCCCTTTCCTACAACTCTTGCATCATCTATAAAATCCCTAAACCCTCCCCTCTGTGGGAACAATATGAAAGACATTTCCACAGCTGAAGCTCTAATGTCTTCCCATAGGCATTCCCCACAGAAAAATACAATAAGATCATCTGAGTTGTAGGCTGTCAAAGATACCAGCCTGGAGGGAATTTTCCATGCCAGAAATGTATATGGTGAATGGGATATAGTCCATCTACTTCATTCAGGGAAATAATATGCGACTAAGAGAAGAATAACCAACCCAGAGTTTGTTGTGTAACTGGCTTTTTGCCCTTGTGGAAGACTCGGATAACATGTACTCAGCATAAGATGCGAGGAATCAAAGACTGACATTCTCTTCTTTCCTGATCATTTAAGTGGCCATTTTTAGATATCTGCAGGCCAGCTTTGGCACTTATTCTCCCAAGAGAATTATATCCCTGGACATGTAGCACAGCATGTGTGGACAACTATGCATGACTACATAGTCACTCAGCCTGAGCATGCACAGTAGCAGCCAACATCTGCCCTTTGTGGACACACAGCAGCCTCAACTGCCTGACACTGGAATCAACCAAAAGCCATGGCTATCAGACTTAGAGTAAGAAACATAAAAGGAGTGTGTGGGTCCCTCTTTTGGCTACAGCTCTCACCTGGGAAGCCAAAAGTCCTGAGTTTTAGGCCTCTCACTTTTTAGCACAACACTAACCACCACACCACAGATCAGCCATTTTTTAGTTTTGCCTCTGGCACTCCTTTGGAAGCTGAGCCATTATTACAATCATGGGAAAAATAGGGGGAAGGCAGCCCTGGGTGGAAGGCAGCAACTGGGAGCAAAGGTCCAAGCCAGAATCTTTCTCCCTTCTAAGCTAGCAACCATCTCACTGAGCTACACACCCCTGGTTTGCTCCCTTCCTCCTAGCCCCAGTTATTTCCAGTGTAGCCCGCTTTGGTGGCTTCCCAGAGAGACAGCTTCAAAAGAAGTCCCCCAGAAAAAAGACTGACCTATAACATGGTGACCAGAGAGCTGAGCTTGGAAGTGAAAGAGACCCAGGTGCAAACACTCCCCTGCACGAGAGGGTCCTAGAACCCAGGTCTTCTGCGGCCTGCCAAGTGAGTACCCTTCATGCTCAGCTACTTCACGGAGAAGATGGAAAGCCTTGGTTGTTCTCCCTTCCCCTTTGCCCTGCCTTACTTGTCCACACAATTGCCTAGATATCCATTAGTATCTGGAGATAGAATTCCCCAGGTGCATGAGTGACAAAACTGCCCCATTAATAACCATGAAAAAATAGACTCCTTGCAACCCAAAAAGTCTCTACTAATAGACATATTACATAAAACACTGACTGATTATTCAAGTACACAGGTTTCACTTAGTTTCCCTCTTACCATTTAGGAAGATGAGCTTTAGTCATCACCATTTTGAAGCACGGGACACTGAATACACGTGATGGTGCAGGTGCTTTAATTAGAGCCACCCCCTCCAACCCTGGAGCACATGTAAAAGACTCCCATAATAAAGCCTATTGAAGTGGGGGCGACAAAAGAACCCGTACATATTAGACAGCAACTGTGTAAAGTCTGGCCTTTTTATTTTAAACCTCAGATTTATCTGAGCATATAATGTGCTCAATGTGTTAGAAGAAGTTAAAAAAAAATGCAATCCTCTTGGATTTGAGTTAAACTAATATGTTAATGTTTAAAGGTCAGGGTACTGTTGTTCTTACTTTTATTATTGTAAGCTACAAGTTACAGCTGATGTATAAACCAAAAAACTGGGGATATATCTGAGCCCTGAAAAATTCTGAAACTTATAAATAAGAATATCTTGAGCATTTTGAAAGGTACTTCTTAGATTCTCAAATTTCAAAACATTATTTATCATTTAGTTTATGCTTAATTTAGGCTGTGTAAATATGTTGACTAATTTTTGCCCATCTACTGCTAGTACAGCATTCATACCCACACTCATAAACTTGATATCTGAACACTTTTCAGGCTCAAAGTTATAGTAAAAACACGTCTCCAGTTTTCTCCTTCTTTCTCTCTTTTTAAGTGTTTTCTTCATTTGTTTGTTACTTGGTTTTTGATTATTGTTCTCTGGCTGTTCTACCCTCCTGTAAAAATTAGTCCCAAAGGGTGTAGATTCAAGAATGTTAATTGAAGACTTAGGCCTATTAAAGTAAGATTTAAAGGAAAATCTGATGCTCAATCTAAAAGAGATTCATAAAGAATGAAAATATCCAAAAGAATTCCCTCCATATGCACTTTTATTTAAAAGTTAATTCATTTGTTTTTTTACTCCCTCCACCTTCACATACAGATCAGAAAAAATAATTTACCTTTATATGAGCCAGGGTTGCTCATAAGTCAAAAATTCATATCTGAAATGCCATGCCAGTATTAATGCCATAATAAAAAAATTCACAACTTCTTCAGATACTTCCCATCCAAATAGTAAAAATCAAACATACGAGAATGTAATATTTTAAAATACCATCTTACCTCAGTTGATGTATGTCACTGCAGCATAGGTGTGAGAAACTGTAAAAAACTTTTTAAATAAGAAAGGATACATCCGTATGGCTCCTGTCCTTGTCCCAATAGCCAGAATTTTCTGAACTGGGTCAAATGCTAAGGCAGTGGGCAGATAAGGAAAACCATGGCGTACTGTCTGAAATAGAATAAACAAACACAGTCAGTGTGTATGAACCATAGCACTAAATTGATAGGTATGATATTTTAGCTATATATAAACAGACTCCAGGTTGTTTGATGTTGCATTGTTCAGAGCCAGTTTTAAGACAAATATTTAGAAAGGAAATATTTAGAACCATACAAGTGACATTTTATCCATCTACTTTTAAATTATGTACTTTACCCAGTAACATCACTATATGTTATACGCATCTGTAGTACCAAAGGAGTTACAGTAGGTATATTAATGAACAATACTAGTACATCTTCCTCATTCGCTATATAGGTATTGTTTTTCACTATCAGAGACAACCCTAGCTGCAAGCTGGTAACATTACATGAAATACGGCCTTATAAAAACAGGAGCACCAAAAGTAAATGGAATATGCCCATAAAGAGATCCAATAAGCCAATAAAATATAGTCCAAAGTAAAAGGCTTTAATAGCAATAATAAAAAAAAATCATGCTATAATAGAGGTTCTCCAAATGGGGAGTTGCTTCTGATTTTTAGGAAGATCAAAATTACCCTCCCTTTCTCAGATTTTTATTAAAAATATTATGTTTCTATCCCAATGGCTGTAGAGACTACCTCGAAAAAATGAATTAAATATAAACTGACACAAACAACCTGAAGTAATAGCTTGCAGTGTTGTGACCTGGTGCTAGTAACAAATCTAAGCTTACCAGGCTCTCTCTCTACCAAATGAGTGCCCTCAGCCCCAGACCAGGAAGCTATATTTTAGCTCTATGATTTTAAGTGTTTTTATAATCAACAGCTTCAACAGGAACGATTGATGGAAACCCACTCCAGGATGCCTTACCGAGCAAAGGTTAGGACACACTCCTGAAAGACAAAACTTGTGTTCAGATCCCTCCCCTGGATGAAAGTACCCCTGAGCTTGGCTCTCTTACCTCACAAGAAAGTGTCCTCACCATCTGGTTAGTCAGTGTACAGACACTGGGTAGTTTTAATCTTTCACCCTACACAAATGCTTCAACAGTGACAGAGCAAGATTTTAAAAAAATGACTGCCTCACCTGGTAGTTGGGATGCTGTCCTGTGAGATGGAACAAATGGGATACAGTCACTGTACCAGGAAGTGTATAATTATGTATACAAAGAGGAACAGTGGCCATGTCTACATGAGACGCTGACTGAGCAGAAACTGAATCTTGGTCTTTGACATTCTGGGTGACTGCTCTAACCACTGAGCTACAGGGTAAAACGTGTTTATAAAACTCCGCTTTTAGGGTTTAAAAGCTAACTTCTCCCCCCACCCTCCTCAAATGGCAACTTCAGCTCAACTTCACTAGGTTTTGGGTGACTGAAAATGATTTTTTCAGCAGGCTATTTTCTGAAAGAAAATTGACCCAGTTCTAATTTAACTATTCCTTCTCTCGGGTTTCTGGGGGGAAAAAAAAAACAAAAAACCTTTTTACTCCCTAGTCTCAAAACTGCACAAATGTTAAAAGACATACCATTGGCATTATCGTTGGTTTTACGTAGATATAGAGGAATAGACTTTTTTTTACACTGAGGTAGAAATTTAACAAATACATACATCACTACATGTCCAGGCTCTTTTTTTTCTTGTGAAATCTGCTTTGCTGTGTCTGTGGACTGGGACTATTCAAAATAATTAGCATAATATTTAGTATTAGTAATTTTCTGTATACTCAACCCAAGCATGCAATGATTCAGATATCAAACTTTCAGGGGACCACTCAAACTTGGAACAAGGGCAATATTTTCTAGTGTCTCTACTAGTTAGATTTGGGGGGAGAGGGGGGGTTGGTGCCTATTTCTCTTGCTTGATAACTAAGAATTCTGTGTTCTTGCCAATTCACCTCCCTGATCATGAAGGGAAGGCATGACACTACATTGGTCTAAATAACTTATTTTGCTATTAATATTTATAAGTTTGTGTCCATAGAAAAAGGATATATTTAGCTTTAGTAGCAATTCTAGTAATACCAACATGTTTCTGTAGGCAACATAGCTGCAGGGTCACAGTTTGTGCCCGCTGATGCTTCTTTGCTGTGTGTTGCTACAGCGACATAGCATCTCGTGTAGACACGCTCAGTAGGTAACATCACAAAAAGCTTTCGGGCTGGCTCAAAAATAAAAATGTTTGTTCTGCAAAAATGTTGAGGTTTTGGCAATTTTCTTCATTCCAATGAAGAATGAATACAGGAAATTGTGCTGGAGCCTGGTATAATGACCCTGTAACAGGTAGCAAGGGCTCCTGCAGCAGAAAGACCCCCTAGGCAGTTAAATAGGGGCTAGCTGCAGGGCAGAAGGCAGCAAAGGCTACAGCTGAAACCTAGGCACTAAGCTGCCTATTAAGGTGAAGGGACACAACTGCAGTCAGTCAAGCAAATACCTAACAGGAAGGGGTAGGAACCCAGGGGATATAACTGGGCCCCGAGGCAGAGGGGCAGTGCAACCTGGAACCCTGATGAGAGAAGAGCTTCTGCCAGCTCAGATTGGTGGGGAGTGCAAGCTGCAGGCCAGGGCAGGTACTCCCAGAACAGAGAAAGCCAGTGGGAAGGTGACCTGGCAGTGGTAGGAAAACCCCAAAAGGGGGACTTCAAGTTAAAGTAGTTGCTTGGATTTTGTTTAATTTATACCAGCAGACTGGGTGTCACTGATGTGGGAGGAAAGGAGGCAACGGGCCACCTGAGGGGCATGTTGGTTTTGAGCCCTGCCAGGGGCAGGGGCGCAAAGTACAGTCTGGTAGAGTCCAAGAAATCCAGAGCCTGAGCACAGAAGGGGCAATGGGGGCAGGCTGAGACCTGAGTCCAGAGGGGGCAGCACAGGTGGCCAGAGGCCAAAAAGGCAAAAGCCTGAGCCCAGAGAGGACAGAGGTGGCCAGGAGTTGACCAGAGGCTAAGACTGGAAAGATCCAGGCCAGAGACAGTGGGCCTAGGCCACCAGTCAACAGCCAGAGTACCCTGTAGGCTAAGGCTAAGAAAGCCTATATAGAAAAGCAAATGGTGATCAAGTGACACCTGCGAGGCACAAACATGGTTACAGGGGTGGCAGGAGGCCACTATTAAAAGCCCTAAGCCTTAAATAAGGGTCCTTCGGCCTATAGGTGGTGACTACTGGCTTACAGTGCCAGCAGAGCACCAGTAGGTCAGCCAGGGTGCAAGAGACACCATGAAGAACTGCATGGTTTTAGCTACCAAGCAGAGGGCCCAGCGATCATGATAGATGAGTCAGGTTAGGCAAAGCACCAGTGAAGGCACTCCAGGACTTAAGGGCAGCCTCCCAATGAATATCAAAGAACATCAAGGCATTGGCAAGAAAGGTGAACAGGGGGGTTATATAGAGGACCAGGAGTGCAGACAGGATTAGGATGGCTCTAGGAGGCACCATGGGAGCCCTAGGACCCATCTTGCTACAGACCCTCAATGGTTCATTCCACTGACTGAAGGTCATTAGCATACAGTAACATTTCAGCCATCCTCTCTAGACACTTCATAGCATGCCATCCTCTCTAGACACTTCATAGCATGCTCCTTAGAACTATGAGAGGAATGATGCAGGATTCCCCACGCTAGTCCTATTTCTTAATATCTCAGGAATTTCCCAAAAGCACACAGAATTTAAGAGACATGAAGAAACTGCACCAGGGTAAAGATATGGCCCGAGAAGCATGAACTCAGTCATTATTTCAAGGCTCTATTTACAGAAAGAGAATCTGATTTTAATCTCAGGATTGAACTAATGGTACAGCTAGGGATATAAATAATCAAAGTAATGAATCAATGCGAGAGCCAATAATAAGAATTCTAGAATAGTGCCTGGTTGGTTTTGGTTTTTTACAACACTTGCTAGTAGAAGTAGTGAAAAGAAAGAATATCATGGAGGCAGAAAAAATGCTTGGCGATGACACTGATGATGATGATGATGATATACACTAGTCCAGGGGTGGGCAATTATTTCAGGCGGGGGTGCCGCTTACTGTGCCGGGCAGTATTTGCTGCTGCTGCCTGCCCAGAGCTCACCACAGTAGGCTCAGTGTGGCTGCTACCACCGCCTCTGTGCTGCCCAGCGTGTGAGCTCTGGGCAGGCAGCAGCAGCAAATACTGCCCGGCACAGCGAGTGGTGGGGCTGCAGCTGCTCCCGCCGTGATGAAGCCCCAACAGACAAGCCTGGAGCTGGCACAGAGCCTAGGCTGGCAGCGGGGGAGGGTTACAAGCTGATGCTGAGCATGGGGAAAAGCGGCCCCTCCCCCACCCTGTGGCTGGTGCCCCCCCACCGCAGCAACTTGCACCCCGCGTGGGACTGCCTGTGCCTGCTCAGGACAGCCTTGTGCAGGCTGCAAGTGTTGTTGCTTGGTTCTTTGACAGGAACCAAGGACAGATAAATACGTATTAATTTTCTAACATTTTTTTAGGGGCCCCATGGGCCAGATAGAATGGCCTAGCCAGCCATATCCAGCCTGCGGGCCGTATTTTGCCCACCCCTGCACTAGTCCTTGATTTGTACCATATCTAACTGAAATAATTTAACACAAAAACCATTGACAACTATGCTACACCAACAACATTAGAAACCATTTACATGGTTAAAATTATATGAGCAGTAAAGAATGAAATCACAAAAACAATCCCAAAGTAGCTCTTTGGAACATCGGGACTACATATTCCTGGAAGAATAAGCCCCATTGAAGAATGTGCCCAAAAGAGAGACAGAGAAAGCAAATAAGAGACGAGATCATTACTACTCCTCCCCACAAACCTGACTTCCTGTCTGTCTACATTTCTGACACCTTGATCCAGGGAGGCAGTAGAAGTAAACCCAGTGGGTGCATCTGCACATGCGCATTTACTGCATAGTAACTGAAATTACTGCACAGTACAAGTGCTCATCTACAGGTGTACGCCTATACTGTGCAGTAAATATGGTGACTTACATCATGAAAGTATCAAATTTACATCCAATTAGTCACTTTACTGTGCAGTAAA